AGAACTAGCATTACTATCATAGCATTAAAACATCTCCAATAAAAATAATTGATAAAATTATTTAAAAATGCTACTTCATAACCAATAATTTGTATTCCAATCGTTAAAATCTGTTACGTTGACAGTTTGTCAAGTGAAATGGAAAAAAAAGTTTTTATTCTATATTTCTGTAGTTTGCATAGCTCTTAAATTCGAATGAACCTTTTCCAATAATTGTTCTATTGATTTTAAGTTTTTTATTCTAGAAACATTTTATGTTTTTGTTCAACATAATGTACTTGATTCAATTGTTTTCAGAAAACTACATATGTTTTTATTTTTACTTCCTTGAAAGCTTTAATATTTTGCTTTCAGTTCATGTAGGAAACGTTTCTAAATCTCTCTATTTTTTTTATTCCTTTAATCCTTTATATACTATCAAATTGAAATTTCACGTGCATATCTTAAAATCATTACCAGCTTCAAAGAACGAAATCATTCGGTGCCTATTGTAAGCCATGACACCTATTTTAAGAATAATACCAACTTCAATTAACCATGTCTCAATCATTTCTAAATAACCAAGAACTCTTTATGCAAAGTTATATGAAATCATAATCATTTCAAACTGATAATCTATGTTTTTAATCAGCATTTTCAAATAACCATGAATATTTTAAAAATAATAATAATTTACAATACACAAATATCCTTTATACATTGTTATATAATATCATAATCATTTCAAACTTATAGCAAATGTTTTTAAGTATTTTCAGAATGTTTATAGAATAATTATCACTTAAAATAACCATGAATCTTTTATCATCTTTAAATAAACATTTCAAAATAATCATAATTATTTTTAGAATAATAATTAATTAAAATTACAATGAATCCTCGAGGCTATTATCATAATGCTTTCAAAATAACCACCCATTCTTTATCAAAAGATATACAGTATCATGACCATTTCAAACCAATTATATATATTTCTAATAAAATTTTCCTATCATTATATATCTTATTTTAAGAATACTATAATACTTAAAATAGCCATGCATATTTTATCCTAAGTTACATAAAATCCTAATTATTTCAAACTGATAACATATATTTCTGATCCGCTGATTTTAAAAACCTTGATTTCAAACATAGATAGGATGCATAAAAACACGTTTATAATGTATTAAAAGAGGAAGAGTAAATACCAAAAAAAAGGAAATTCTGTATCATAATTATGATACAGAAATTAAAAATGAATTTTGATAATGAGGATATTATAAATGGCTTTTATATTGCAGTAATAAAATGATATTTATGCAGTTTTAACTCTCAAGATCTTGCAATGTGCAACATGAAACGTTTTGAGGAAATTTTAAACACTTGAAAAAATCTTATCAGTATTCATGCGGCGTGTAAAGACATTTTAATGTATTTGACTAAAATGCACGTTAACATTTCTGCACATATGATTAATAATGTTCTTTTCAACTACATTGTTACACTACTACATATTTAATTTTTGCATTATTACAAAATCTGAACAAGATTTAATCCTAATATCTGTAACAACTTTAATTTTAGCATTGAAAGAAATTTGATATTTTCGTAAAAACAGGAAAAAAAAAACTCGTTTCCAAATCACTGCCTAACTAGAACTTTTTAGCTGCAATTTGTTCTACCCATTACGAGACCAGAACAATATGAGAGACCAGAAATATTTCTTTTTATCTCAATTCTAGTCAGCATATTTTTCACACGATAGTATAGCCTGTATTAAAAAAATATTTCATGCTTTAATAAAGAGTTTTTTGTTAATTATAATAATTATAACATCTAATTTTATATTTACTGTTTTTAAGAATTTTTGTGAAATTGCATGCATACCGAAACATTTTATTTTTAATCATAAATTTATAATGTAACAATTGAAATTTTATTAATACTTTTCCTAAATAAATTTAGAAACTTTAAAAAGCAATATGGAATTCCGTTAAAAATCATTTAATGTTCTCAGAAATGTGTTTAAGGAGATTAAGTTTTGTTATTTTGAAAGATTTATAGTTTGGGAATGAAGATTGTTTTACCATTTATTTTACTTTATTATTTATTTTGAAAACAAAACTAAAAACAATAGTTTAGTCGTCTGAAATCTTTCTAAACAGAAAACTGATTAATCGTCTCTTTTCTAATAACAAATTTGGATTATATATAAGAGAAAAGGATCTATAATACTTTCTCTTGCAAAATCTAATTTATTATTGCGTAATGTAAAACTTTTATTTTACAGTGTAGCTTCAACAATCTTAATAATTATAAGACATTGGTATAAGAAAGTAAATAGCAATAAATATCAGTTTGTGAATTTTGCAAAATTTTTTACAGTTTAATTTGATAAGCATGTATCAAAAATTTACCGACATTGTTCTGAGCCTAAAAATAAATTGTTTGCATTTATCCGACGCCCAATACCTGCCATAGTAACGTAAAAATAAGACATTTAAAACATTAAATAACAAAGTAAAACATTTTATGCTTTTATGAAATATTTTTCGTTAATTCCAATTAATAATGTTATCGAATTATAATGTTAAATTTGAATATTTAAAGAATTTTAAGATTATATATATATATATACAGGTGTGCAAAACTTAAGCAACAAGTGCGTTTTTTGTCATAACTCTACAAGAAATCATCCGATTGACATGAAATTTGAATATGATGTACATTATTTTGTACTTAAACGATGGTATGAATAATGGCGCAGCAAAATAATGGCGCAGAAATGAATATAAAGCTTAAAGTAGGGTATGGAACAAAAAAAGGCTTTATTTGACATATAGTGGCGTTACACATGATTGCCTGAAGAAGCGTAAGTACAACTGGCAGATGTTCCCTAGTATGGGATATGCCCTCCCCTTACTGTAATTGTTGCTTGGCATCGTCTCTCCATGCTAAGCACCAGATTATCCAGGAGTTCTTGGGGTAAACGTCTCCATTCCTCCTTTAACGCATCTTTCAGCTGATGGGTGTTACCAGGAGGATACTGTCGTGTCGCAAGACGTCTCCCTAATGCATCCCACACATGCTCTATGGGATTTAGATCTGGAGAGTAAGCTGGCCAATTCATTCGTGTGATATCTCCACTTTCCAGTAGCTCTTGAACATCAGCAGTACGGTGTGGCCGGGCATTGTCATCCATAAAAATGAAGTCTGGTCCAATGGCCCCTCGGAACAGACGCACATGGGGTAGGATTACCTCATTGCAGTAGCGGTCTCCAGTTACAGAACCTCGGTCGAAGATCTGAAGCTCAGTCCGCCCGTTCAACATAATGCCACCCCAGACGACAACTCCAGGACCACCGTAACGATCTCTTTCCGCGATGTTATTGGGATGAAATCGAGCTCCAACCTCTCTCCAGATCAACTGACGTTGAGAATCGCTTGTAGCACTAAAACGACTCTCATCTGTGAAGAGGACGCGACTCCATTGATGAGGTGTCCAGGTTTCGTGTTCTCTGCACCACTCTAAACGGTGCCGCCGATGGCTAACTTTTAAAGGTATGCAGCGTTCAGGACGTCTAGCAAATAAGCCACCTTTGTGGAGGCGTCTGGCCACTGTAAATCTTGATACTTGTCGTCCTGTGGCTGTGCACAGTCGCTGAGATATGGCGCTCGCTGACTGAAAACGGTTTCTTTTCACCTGGTGGACAATGTAACGGTCATCTCTTGGTGTTGTTTTCCTTGGACGGCCACCACCAACCATCCGAACAATTGTACCAGTAGTTTGAAAGGCATTCCAAGCACGAGAAACAACACTTTTGTTGATCCCGAACTCTTCGGCGACACTGGTCACACTACGCCTCTCCTCAAGCTTCCCAATCATTCTTCCTCGAGTAAAGTCGTCTAAATGATTTCTTGAAGACATGTTTCACAAAACAAATCACTTGCACTTGCAGCGAATGTCTTTAACTACGGTGCTCTCCATCCTTTTATCACAGCTTTGACCTGCGCGTGCCGATCCACAAGGCTTACGTACACTTACATCCCCTACGACGTTTTATTTCTAAAATTTGCATACAAATAATCTTTCTACTGAATTACGTGCATATTATACTGCAATTTCATGGCTATCTTATACTTTGTTGGGGAGCTGTGACCGAAAAACCACTTGTTGCTTAAGTTCTGCACACCAGTATATATATATATATAAACCTTAAATGCTTTTTGTGCACAAAAAGTACAATTTTTCATTTGTATATACATTTTTATACTTTACGCAACTTTCATTACTATAAAGAAACGTGAAATTTATTTTCCTACGTATTTTTTTACACTATTTCGTAGGAGATAAATTGCGAATCAAGAGGGCTAATATTTCAAAGGTCGGAAGTTTTTGTTTGTTTGTTTAAAAAGTACTATATGTTTAAATTGCACTTACTATGAAGAAAACCCTTGAGACTTCAACGTAATGTTCCTAAATTTCTAACAATTGCGGAAAAAATTTGGTGAAAAGTAGCGGCATTCAGGATGCTGGTACTTTTTACATTAAAATCATTTGTTACCAAAACATGTTACGGAACAAAAAATCTGATTTACCGTAATTTTTACAGTCATAATAACTGTAAAATCACTGAATTTCTCTAATTAAATAAATATGACTTCTAAATTAATCGTATTAAATTTTTTTTTACAGGAAAAATGGCATGGATGATTAGAGTGACGGTACTTTATTCCGTAATTTGATACGAAATTTATCACAGTGTTATAAACCGGAACTTTATTCTATTTAATGTAGCAATGAATAGGAAATAATAACTCATTTGTTTAGATAGCTATGCCAGATGAATAAATGGCTATAAGTACAAAATTTTACTTTTTGTACATAAAACCTTTAAATCTTCCTAAATCTTAAATCTTAAAACCTTTAAGTCTTAAAGCAAGCTTTTAGACCTTTCTATTCAAGCTTTTTTCTGTTTTTTTTTAATTATTTGTTCAAATATTTTCTTTATTTCCAGCAACACCACTTGATGAAGCATTCGCTGGATTGCAAATTCACTTCACGCAATCGCGCAAAATGCAACGGGAAATTAGAAACAAATCACACTTATATAGACAGCAATGTTGAATGATAAGAATTAGGCAACGTATTCAAGGTAAGATTAGTATTTAATGACTCAACAATTGCTTCGAATAAACAAAGTACATTGTATGAATGATTTCCAAACTTCAGCTTATACGAATGATTTCCAAACTATATGCAAATATACCTTCAGCTTAAGTAGAGCGTGACGCGATTAATGCGTTTTCTTATTAGTTTATATAAACTAAATAATTTCGAATTTAAAAAATTTGACTTTTATTTTATCGTACAAAAGAAAACATCATTAAATTGAAGGAGGTTTTTCCGATATAAATTTAATAAAGCTTTATAAAAGGCAGAGCAATATAAATTATATAAATTCTATGGCTTAATTTGAGTGATATTTTGTGTCTCTAAAAGACAAGAATATGCGAAACTCGCTTTTATTATTACTGTTCTATGCATTTATATATGATACAATGATCAAAACTTAACATATCAAAACTTAACATTTATTACATTCTCCAAAGAAATAAAAGTATAATTTTTACTCACAAATCTTTTTAATAATATGGTTACAGACGACACTCCATTAAATGAAATGACGGATACAATAAAACCACAGAACAAATGTTTTTCTTTGAACTTGTTCCGGGTTTGTTTCTGTAAAAGTTTAAAGTTTTCATGTTATTGGCATTAGATAATCTTGGCGAAATATCGGTTTCAAACTTAATGTTGTTCAAAAAACTTTCCACGCGTCTCGCGCACTATTTGTAGGGTTTATTTTGTTTTCCGCCTGTTCAACTGCTATTTATGCTTCGTATTTTTTTTTCTTTATGTGTGCTCACTAAAATATATTTCTGCCAACAATTCCTTCGCTTGGCATGAAACGCTTCTGGGCATTGTCTGAAATGACATTTCTCCGCTTTCTTATCTTTCCTTATATGGTGTTCTATTCCGTCAATAGCTGCCAGAAAAACATGTTAAACCAATAAAACTAGTGGAACGTAATAAACCAAAATGAGAAAACTAGTAAACTGTTTATATTGCTCGAAGAATTACAGTGAAATGAAACCAATAACTATGTAAAGAATACAACGTTTTGATTTTTTGTACTTTTCATTTTTTACATGTATGTGCTTAACGTATTAAAATTACTTTGAATTACTTGGAGAACAAAGTCATATTAAATAAAATAGTAGAGCGGTGGAATGTTTAAAAAATAAAAAAAATGTTAACTGAAGAAATATTTTTATTCATATATTTTTATTGATATACTAATATATTTTTTAAACTCTATACATTTATTGATAAATTAATAACTATTCATTTAACGTATTTTTCGTAAAAAGAAATTTTCTGGTTTTTATTTTAAACTTATTGTTCGGCAATGAGTCGTGCGTTTTTTTTAATCAGTTTTGGAAACTTATTTTGTCGGCAGAGATGTAGCAATTCTTAGTTTTAAGTAAAGTAAAAATTTTCCTTATATTTATGTTAAATAAGATTTCTCGAGAAGTCTGAGGAAATGCTAAAAAATGAAATACTCTCAGTCCCTATAAAACAATGTTTCAAATAACATGTTAATTTCTAAAAATTTACCACACAGTCAAAAATATTTATTGTCAACAAAAAATTAAAACGGAATCTTGTAAACTGATGTTCATAATTAACAAGATGTTTTTGAGATAATCCAAAATTAAACTAGACGCACGACAAAAAAAAATCAATAGTGGTTGTATAAATCAGACTTTTGTACGTTTTAAAATCTAAATAAGAACGCAACAGTATCATTTTGCTTATTTTATTATTTGTAACATTTCTTACGTAATTAGAAAGTAATTTTTTTGGAACGTGCTTTGAGACAGAATATTCTAAAATGAAATAAGGATAAACAAGACTAGTGAAGATTTATTCCCAAAATAAAATGTAGGAAAGATTTTTATAAATAGTGATGAAATTTAAATCAATATTGCGGAGATAAAGCGTTCGTTTTTTCTTATTATTGTTATTAAGAAAGTTGGAAACTTATTATTATTATTATGAAACTTATAATTTAAGACATTCTTCTAACGAAGAAGATATCATTCAAATTCTCTTCACTGAGTAAAGAGTATTTGTCCTCGAAATGGGTTTCGATTTTCGTTCTTAAGAAAAGCATTAACATTAAACAGATAATGTGTTTTGCATTTCCTAGGGGGCAATTTTCAGAATATTATATATCGTATTACTCTAGCATTATATTATAAAGTATGGAGAAAGGAGAATTACCGTTCAAACTGCATTGTGGCATTCTCTTCATAGAGCAAAGAGTATTTCGAAATGCATTTTGGTCTTTATATTATTCTTGGTTTATTATTTCAGCAATATATTGTAAAGTATGTTCACAATAAAACGCAACTTAACGAAAAACGCAAAAATACCTTAATGTCGACCAGAAAGCTGTGTCAAGATTGCTGAAGAAGGGAGAATTACCATTCAAATTCTCTTCATTGAGGAAAGAGTATTTGTACTCGAAATGGGTTTCGATTTTCGCAAAATCCTTCAAGAATTTACCTCGAGAGAAATAACCACGTTTTTAAATTTCCAACAGGAGTTCTATCATGCGAACAACGACGAAACAGTAAAAAAATTTAGGTCACAACAGCAGAACTCCAACTGTTATAATAACATCAATAGTGGCAAGTATTAAAGACAAAATTAAAGTCTCCCTTAAGTCAAGACTCGATAGCTTTGGAATACATTTCAGAGAAAATTAAATCAAGATTTATATACAGGCAAAAAGATCAAAAACATTTCCTATCAAATATTCTTTAATCACTTCGATAGCCTTGTTGTGTGTGCTAATGTTAGTAAAAACGATAACGGAAGTTATTTTTATCATTTTTTGTTATCTGTGCTTAATAAGCTTTCCTTTTTTCAGTCTATCTGACAAACAGCTAAGGATCAGCAAAGAATTTTGGTCGTAACAGCAGAACTTAATTGTTTTAACAGCAAGAAAAGTGAATATTAAATACAAAATTAAAGAATCCTTGAAATCAAGATTCGTCAGCTCTGGACTATATTTCGGAGAATATCGAATCAAGATTGCTATACAGGCAACAAGAGATCAAAAATATTTCCCGAACAAATCTTCTTTATTGTTTCCGACCACCTTGTTGTACGTGCTAATGTTTGTAAAAGCAATAATAGCTGTAATTTTTAGCGTTTTTTTTTATCTCGTTTGCTTAATAAACCCTCCTTTAACTTTTCTTAAGTGTTTATTTAATTTTGGACATTTGTAGTGCATTTTCTAGGTGTCAATTAGTTTTATCCATAAATTACAAATATATATAGCTTTCTTTTATCGATTATATATAAATTAAAAAAAGGCATAAAATAGAGTTAAATTGTACGAGGGTTGCTATTTATATTTCTGGAATTGGCAACAGTAAGTGTTGCTAGGCGTCCGCAGACGATTTTAATCGAAAGTTTGATATTTTTAAACATAAATTCAGCAGACGATTTTCCATTATAGCTTCATTTGTGTTGTTGACAGTAAATTGAAAAGTTCTTCTCTTTCAAAAAATGGAATTGAATCGTGAACATTTTCGTGCCATTATTTTTCATAACTTTCGACGTGGATTGTCAAGACAAGAGTGCTTCGATGAACTTAATTCTTTATTCAGCGATAAAGCGCCATCCTACAGCACTGTAAAAAATTGGTATAACGAATTTAATCGTGGTCGATGTTCGATCCAGGACGAATCCCGTGCAGGTCGTCCAAAATCCGTTGTTGTGCCAGAAAAGATCGATGCTGTGCGTGAACTGATAAAGCAAGATCGTCATGTGACATACCGTGAGATAGAGGCGTCTTTGGACATTAGTATGACTAGCATCAATAAAATATTGCATGAACATTTGAGCGTAAAAAAAATTTGTTCGCGTTGGATCCCGCATAATCTGACAAACGCTCAAAAAAAGGCTCGTGTCGATTGGTGCAAGGAAATGTTGGAAAAATACGTTCAAGGTACATCAAAGGCTGTGTATAACATCTACACAGGTGACGAATCATGGATCTATGCATATGAGCCGGAAACAAAACAGCAATCAACTGTATGGGTCTTCCAAGACGAGGCAAAACCAACAAAAGTTGTTCGAGGAAGAAGCACATCGAAACAAATGATTGCCTGTTTCTTCGGCATTAACGGTCATGTGGCAACAGTGGCGTTAGAGCAACGCAGGACGGTCAATTCTGAATGGTACACGACCATTTGTTTGCCAGAAGTCATCGGAGAAATTCGAAAAAAGCAGAAGAACAGGCGAATCATTCTTCATCATGACAATGCGAGCTCTCACACATCGACTCAAACAAAGGCATTTCTGACGGAGCGAAAGATCGAACTGATGGGTCATCCGCCGTACAGCCCTGATTTGGCACCCAATGACTTCTTCTTATTCCCACACATCAAAAATAAATTACGTGGACAACGATTTTCGACCCCCGAAGAAGCGGTTGATGCATTCAAAACGCATGTTTTGGAGTTACCTCAATCGGACTGGAAAAAGTGCTTTGAAAATTGGTTCAAACGCATGCAAAAGTGTATTGATCATCATGGAGAATATTTTGAAAAACAATAAAACCAATTTCGGTGCTACATATTCGTTTTTTCATTATTAGGCCAGAAATATAAATAGCAACCCTCGTATTTAAAGCTTTTGAAATTGGAAATTGGTATGAGATAATGCAGGGCTCGAAAAAACTCAGAAATTTTACCCGTCCCCGAGGACGGCTTGTCTAATAATGTACCCGTCCTCTTTTGAAACTAACCCGTAGCTTCTACATAAATAAAAATATAATTTTCTCTTATTTATTACAAACATTTATATAAATTGCACTATGAATTAGTAGTTACTAGGATTACAAATACAGGGATTACATTATACAGTAATAAAAGAAATACTAGGTTACTAATAGTAACCTAATATTTCTTTTATGAAAAAAATTATTTCTTTTATGAAATAATTTAAATGATAAAGGTCAAGTTATCTGGAATGTCAATTTATCCGAGGGCACTGCGTTTTTTAAATGAATCAAATATGACGATTGCCAGTTCCACAATCAAGCCAATGATTTACAGAGGTTTCTGCCAGAAATCTGAAAGGGGTTTTCCATTTAGGAGATGTTCAAAATTGTCTTAACGCTTCTTGTTTAAGACCAGTACGTTATGTGTTTTTTTGTAAGTTCATTGCTGAAAAACCTCTTTCAACCGCTGTAGTACTGCCAGACTGAGAAAACATCAATTTCCCCATACGCAGTATGCTGCTGTATTGTGGGTCATTTTGCTGCATTAGGTCTTTATAAATAGCTTGGGCTCGGAGGGCTGAAGTTTTCTGGTGTTTAACGATATTAGGTATCTTAAATTTTAATAACGCCCATTCTTGAGGAAAAATTTTTCTTATCTACGCCTTCTAAAAAGATTGTAAGGTAACAAAAATTGAAAATGTATCACGAACATTAACGGGAAAATGACCGTCCGCGCGGACGTCGGATTCGAGAAATTCGTTATTCGCTGGGAATTTTTGACCTCCGAGGACAGGCGGACGGGCTGTTTTTCGAGCCCTGAGATAATGTATTGCAGCAAGTGATCATTCTTACAAAGAATCATTTTATTGCTAATGAATTTGCGAGTAACTTCATATTTGATTATAAAACTCGGTAATTAATTAAACTATTTTTAACATCTAAAATTAAACATGAAATATAATTATGTTTTGTGAAAAATTTTACTAAAAAAAAAAAAACTTTTATTTTTAGCATATCATATTCAGTGTTCATAGTTAAAACGAAGAAAAAGGCCAGTTTACTAAAAAACACCAATTAAAAAATTGGAGTAGAAAAATATCTTGATTTGAAATAAGATCAATATAAAATATGAAATAACAAACTCTCGTTACGTTTAATTCATATTAAAAGTTACGAAAAAAATCCCTTTGAACTTATTTTTCTTTCATTGTTATTTATGAGAAAATGGAACAAAAAACTATATTGCTTCCTTGAAAATAAATAAAAAAGTTAAAATTCATTATTTTTAAAATTAAAAACAAGCAGATATTATTCCTTTTGATAAAAAGTGATTCTTTGAAATTGTATTAATATTCTTTGATTTTTGATGATTTTTTTCTAAAAATGAGAGATTTGCTTTGAAAGATCATTTTTAACTTTATGAAAAAAGTTTTATCTTTATAAATAATTGGATCATTTAAAAAAAATTGGTCTTTTTAACGAGGCTATGAAATCAAAAATAATTACCACTGCTGCGATACAAAATTAAAAGTTTGAAATAATTCTTAATCTTTTTCCTATCATTTCAAAAAACTTTTTATTCATAAATCACTATCATCTTGTTTCTTGAAACAAGTCTGCAAATTTAAATTAAAATTTTACGTTATTTAAACTGGAGTTTTAAATTACCGTCGATTGGGAATTATGTAGTCAACATTTTTTTTTTTGAAATAAATATTTTAAATTAAATAAATAATCGCAAGAAACTGAAGCAGTAAGATATTACTTGAACAAAATAATTCATTCGTTTCAAAAATATACAGAGTGGAAACAACAGTCGACATGTTTCAAGGGTTCAAAAATAGTCTGGCAGGTGTTGAAAATAGGCACCTATTTTTTAGTGCTTGAAATATGTCGGCAGTTATTTCCAATCTGTATAGCTTCAAAACGATTGAAGTATTTCATTCAAAAAAATATCCTAAATGTTTAAGTTTTTCATATATTTTCTGTGTAAGAAAGCTCACAAGAACAATCAAAACAAAATTTCAAAAAAAAAAAAAAAAAAAAAAANAAAAATTTAAAAAAAAAAAAAAAAAAAAAAACTAGCTGTTGACTAATCTTTATTAAACTTTGAGTTCATTATGATTGAGTTTTGAGTAGCTGTCAAGATCACAATACCTGCATTTTAGAAAATTTCCTTTCTCAAATTATTTGCCTCATTTTATTACAAGTCATTTCACTAATAGTTGAAAAACAAAGACAAAATAATTTACTCACCAAGAGATGGCTTTAGGAAAAATTAATGTTCGTTACAAATAAAATTTACATTGCAAATAGAGTAAAGGACCGCAAACTCAATCTGCATTGATATGATTGTCCCATTAGGGTTTATTTAACTGCATTGAAATTATCTAATTCGAATTATTCATTGGTACCGATAAGAGTTACATTATTTTATTGCACTGAAATAGTTCTCTAATTTACGATTTTCGTTTGTATCAAAATAATTCTTCGATTCCCTTTTCGTATTTGTACCAAAAAAATTGTCCAATTTATGTTTTTTATTTGCATTGAAATGATTTTTTACTTTACGTGTTTTATTTGTATTTTAATGTTGGCCAAACTTGCATTTCTTTATTTGTAAAAAAAAGATTAAAAAATTAAGGAATTTCAGGATTTTTATCAGTATTTTTTTATTGCACACAAATAAATGAAGAAGACTGCAAAGAAAATGATGTATAGAATAAAAGAATGAGGTAAAAAATGCCGTATCAAATTATTAACAAAGTATGAGTAATATTAAATTTAAAGCTCAACTTGAAAAATTAACTAAAATAATTAACTAAACTAAGAAACTAAACTATAACTAAAACAGTTAACTAAAAACTTAAGCTAAGTCAATTCGAAAAACAAGTCATATTTTAGAAAATTCAGAAATTTATTTCGATTGCTTAGTTTATATAAGCAATTGTTTTAACAATTTAAAATTTTTCGAAAAAATATTTTTTAAGGTTAAATCACAATATGCAAATTTATCATACAAGTTCATGGGAGTTGAAATCATGCAAGTTCACGGGTGATTTTTCCTACTAAAAAAAGTGCATAAAATCTTTTTCTTCCTATTTTAAACCAAAAATTTGAACCAAAAACGGGTTCTAAAAATCCAAATTAGCCAGGTATTAAAAAATATGTTTTACATAAAAAATTGCCATTTAAGAAATTTCATATATTTCATACACAAAAGGAAAAAAAAATTGTTAAACTTAAATATGGCGCTTTCATTATGTGGGTAAAATCTTCTTGATTATCCTAAATTAATCAAAAAATATAGTTGAATAGATAAAAAGAGAAATCTGGATTAATAGGTCCAACATTTATACCACTCTCTTGACTAATCTAGTAAGACCATATTTTTCAGATCACGGATACCTTCCGAATTTTGAGGATCTCAGATAAGAGTCCGTCAAAAAAAAGAAGACAAGTTTT